TTCCCAAAACTCGTATGTGATAAATTCGAAAAATCGGGTTTTGAGCCCTAAAATCAAGATTTTCGCTTTCAACTTTTTTCTGAATGAGCCAATTCACACAAATTCTTCTGTGAAATATTAGCCATAATCATAATATTGTTTTAAAAATTGCTTGTCCTGCCTTTTCACAAAACTCGTATGTGATAAATTCGAAAAATCGGGTTTTGAGCCCAAAATCAAGACTTTCGCTTCCAACTTTTTTCTGAATAAGCCAATTCACACAAATTCTTCTGTGAAATATTAGCCATAATCATAATATTGTTTTAAAAATTGCTTGTCCTGCCTTTTCCCAAAACTTGTATGTGATAAATTCGAAAAATCGGGTTTTGAGCCCAAAATCAAGACTTTCGCTTCCAACTTTTTTCTGAATAAGCCAATTCACACAAATTCTTCTGTGAAATATTAGCCATAATCATAATATTGTTTTAAAATTTGCTTGTCCTGCCTTTTCCCAAAACTCGTATGTGATAAATTCGAAAAATCGGGTTTTGAGCCCTAAAATCAAGATATTGGCTTCCAACTTTTTTCTGAATGAGCCAATTCACACAAATTCCTTTGTAAAATATTAGCCATAATCATAATATTGTTCTAAATTTTGCTTTACCTGCCTTTTCTCAAAACTCGACTTGCAAAAAAAAAACAAAATCACTTTTTAATGTTAAAGAGATATAGTGATTTTTTTAGAAAAAAAAGTAATCACCGTTTTGAACAGGAGCTCTGAAAAACACCGAAGTCTAATCTGCGCAATGAACCAGTCAATTTGTAATATCGGAAATCGTGTTTGTGTCATTGAAATTAGTGATTTTCCAGTAAAAAACCACAACGGCCCGGGCTCGGGCATCGAAAAAATGAAACATCGATTTCTAAGATATGAAACAATTTATTTGTTTACTACCCGAGTAAAGGTAAATTAGCATTGAATGGAAGTAAGCGTTGAAGCATGATGCTGCTGCATTTTAGCGACGGTCAATACTGTGCGAGCCACTTTCTGTGGGTTTCTCTTTGAGATGATGTCCATTTGGGAGCAGAGAGTATTCTGGAAATTGGAATTATAATTCACAAAACTTTTCGACGTGTAATGCACCTCTGGAACTCCGATTTTCTTGCAGAATTGCAAGAATTTGTCGACATTCATCTTGGAGCGAGTGGTGGCAATCGACTGGAAAATTAGTAATATTGATTTTTCACATAAAATGCAAAACTTACAGAGTCAGTAGGTGATGCAAGGGCGATTGCATCTGGATGAAGTTTGTTCACAAATTTGCACAGTTCCTGTCCATCTGACAGTTGCACGCTGAAGCTAATATCTCCCTTGTTCAACGCGAAGCTCGGTCCCAATTTCTCTCGCAGCAACTTTTTCGCACTTTCCACGTCATTGACGACTCCATTTGTTAAAGGCGCACGTATTCCTGACTCTGAAAGAGATGTTTCTTGTGCATTTTTAATTCAGGAACTGTCAAGGCACGAGGCGGAATAACTTACTATTCAGGTTGTTGACACTGGAGGTTATCGGTCGACTCGCGACCCTTGTCGCTGCTGGTTCCTCGGACCGACGAGTGATTGTGGAAGCGATTTTGGTACTTTTCACTGGTATCTCTCGTTTGGCAGTGGTAGTGTTAGTGGAACGGGTTACTGTAGTACTTTGAATGGGGTTCGGACGACGAACAGTAGAAATTTTCTGAAAAAAGAAATAGAAAGCAAATAAAGCCATTCAGAGTACCAATGGGGCATTTCCGTTTGGAGCGGCAGGCGGTTGTGCTGTTGGGCGTACAGTGGGTTTCATCATGGGAGCTACTTTGGATATGGGTTTCTTTCCTGAAGCAAACAAGCTTTTTTTCTAGAATTTCGAAAAGAAAAATCTCAGAGAATCTTCAACGCATTTTACCAACGTGGCTAACTGCACAGGTAATTCGCGAACAATCCGTTACGGACGCTTCGCGTTTGCGCGCGGTTGAAATAGGAACCGCATACGGACCGCACGCAAACCGTTTTCAAGAAATCGCAGTAAATTATACCGAATAATCCG